ATGTATTTCAAAGATATAAATTAATAATATAATTTATAAATTTTTTGTATTAATTTTTTTATTAAACAAAATAAAATTAATAATTTAATAAAATTTTATTATAAAATTCAATAATTTTTTATACAATATCTTTTAACTTGTCAAAAGATACTGTAACTGCATCAAACCAGAAGTCCTTCTATAGTCCGTACTTGCGCTCTGGATTCACCTGCAAAGCCCCGAGGTAAATCCTTGGGGTAAACACTCCAATGTTTAAGTCAGCAATAATCGGAGCTACATTTAGGGCAGAGAAACAAGGAGTTTAGGGTTGGTTTCAATTACCTTTTGACGTGACCCTTGAGGGGTATTTATATGTTCCCATGAAGAAACCACGTGACATGCCAAGCAAAATATTCGAGATCTGATGTGTATCTCCAAGCAATTATTTCGAGATTTGATACATATCTCCAAACAATTATTTTGGGACTCGGAGATTAAGCCAAACGAGATATTCAGGATTTGATGTGAGGGTGTTCATTGTAACTGTTATGTTGCTATTCGAGCAAGAACCTCTGGATTTATTCCTTACTTTGATTGTAAAAGATTTACTGCCGTACATCCGAGGTTGAGCGTCCGAGTCGGACCTGCCCTTAGAGATACTTATCTAATTATTTTTTTGATAAATTTTATTTGGTAAAGTCGCCCTCTAATCCAACGGCTCCTGCCTATCAGGCACCTAAAGATTGGGTCGCTTCCAGTGGAAAAAAAGTTTGATACCCATCACGTCAAGAAATTAAACTGAACTTTATTGTCTTCGAAAGGTACTCGAGCGTATGAACCCCACATAACTACTTCAATTAGGACCCTTCAAATTCATGAACTGTAACCCACCGAAGGTTAGATAAAATAGTAAGTGATTTATTTCAGTTTAAGTAAGATTTGAGTTTTTATGTATACGATAGCTTTCGTTGAGAGATTTATTTACTATTTTCAAGTGTGCGACGTGAGCCAAGTCTGGATTAACCTAAGTAAAACCCCAAATTTCGAATGGACAACCCAAAAAAAAAAAAAAAAGAGCATCAATAAAACACGGGTTTTTGACTTTTGTTTATACAAAAAATCAAAGGGCCCGTTTTGGTGCCGTTTATGGAAAGGAATTATTTTTTTCAAAAATATAAATTACATCAAATATTATAATTAATAAAAAACATTGTAATTTTTTATAAATTAAGTTTTTATTTATTTTATTATAAATTTTAAAAATATT